TGCGATGTTTCCCACAGCGAAGGTTAATCCAGAACGGATTAACCTCACTGTGCGGGGCACCACTGTACTCCGTGCAGGCATGGAGTAAATTCATTGAAAAAAAAAGGGGAGGCTGCAAGGCTGGCAGCCTCCCCGCGGGCCATCAGACGAGGTCTGGCGGGCCGGATTTGGCCCGCGGGCCTTGTGTTTGACACCCCTGCCATAAAGTAACAGCCTAGCATATGGATCAAAAAGGTCTCGCTTGGGCACAGACTGGGGTCAGGGTGGAGCACAATAACCTTATCATTAGTTTTATTTATATGCTGCATTTCTCCCAACAAGGGTCCCAAAGCGGCTCACAACATTAAAATTCACACAATTTAGAAACACAATAAGTTAAATACTGTATTAAAAGATACATTAAACAATATATGATTTAAAATACAATTGAAAGATTAAAACATAAAAAAGATTAAAATTTCTGCTAAATTGGGGTTCAGGGATTCAGTTATAATTGTTAAGAAAAGTATTTTCACTTGCATGGCAATAACCCAGTTATCAAGACAAAGGGAGTATCTTGGCAAAAGAACGTGACTGGGTTAAAAATATACATGTGTTGAAATGCCAATGTAGGGAATTTTCAGAGGATTACTTATAACTGTCAGTAGCAACAACAAAAAATCTTATGGAAGCTTTAAGCCTAAAGAGTCACTCTGGCAGAAATTTTCAGCTGATTTTAAAATTAAAAAAATTACATCCATTTTAGCGCAAACCAGCCAGCACAGACCCTTGCAGAAAGGGTCTGCAAGACCCATCAGAGCACAGAAATATAACCCTACCCTCCCACCTAGCCCAAATAAAAAATCAATTTTTTTAAAAAAGCCAAAAAAATACAGTACATACAGTACAGTATCAGGCAGTACCAGGCAGTACCAGGCAGTCTGAAGTCTATTTCCCTATCCACACTCTCTAACCACTGGGGTGAGCAAGGTAGCAGACAAGTAGCCTCTTCACTGGCTAACGGTTAACTGAAAGTTCAAATTTCCTGCTTTCCCCGCCTTCCTGCCATTTTTTTCTGTTCATAAGTCAAAGCTCTGCTCACAAGTTGGAGCAAAATTTTGCGACCAGAGCTGTTCATAAGTCGGAGTGTTCACAGGTATGATATTTGCACCTTTGTGGCCCCTGTTTGTCTCCCCAAACCAGAGGGCACAAGAAGGCAAACCAAACAAAACACCTTTTCACACGCTACCACAAGTTGATCACTAAATCAACATACTTTACTTAAGAAAGATGAAGGTCCATTCATCAATGTCTTTTGAATAAAACAGGTTTATTGATTACAACTGTTTCTACAATACTTCATAAGTATCTTCTTCAGTGTATTCGCAAAGGTTCATCAAGCATCAATAACAATCTTCTATATTCTCTTACAGGTTACTGTTCACTCCTCAGACTAACCACTACTCAGATCTCCCACTTATCTCTCTCTCCCTCTTCAAACACAGATCCAGACTATAAACTAACTCCTCCTCTCTGGCTCTGCCTTTTAACATCTCTAGTGGCCCCACCTCTCAACCACATCAGCATAAAAATGCATGACTTACTTCACATAATAAGGATGAATGCCACAGTAGGTAGGGATGTTGGTAAGTCGAGGCACCATTGTATCTCTTTAAATAAATAAACATTGTCTAAAATCCTGTTGCATAGTTACACAAATGGAAGTGAATTGCTGTAAATTAAGATGCCTCTGTGAACATTAGGTGTTACATACCAAGTTACATGACTTGGCATGCAACACATGATGTCTATGGAGATTTCTCAACTTGTGGCTCTTCATGTCTAAACGTTATGCTAGTTACATCACTGTGCAACAGGATTTCAGCCATTGGGTCATAGACATTTTGCAAATGTCAAAATTCTTTCCCATTCCAAGTGTAGCCAAAAATAGGGCTACCATAAATACTCAAAACTCAGAAGCGGTTTACCATTCCATTCTTCTTGGGGCATCTTGGGGCTGTGCAGCTTGCCCAAGACTACACAGGCTGGCTCTTCTCCTAGGAGGCACAGTGGGGAATCGAACCCCTAACCTCTGGCTCCACAGTCAGATACCTAAACCACTGAGTTATCCAGCCAGTAAGAGATGCTACTGACATCCTATGTACATCACTAATTCAGTGTACATTTACTAAACAGTATGCCCTACTGACCCCTTCATGGATTGCTGCCTTGTCATGGTGAAGGGGCTTGAGTAATTCAGAGAAGCTATGGGCTATGCTGTGCAGGGACACCCAAGATGGACAAGGCATAGTGGAGAGTTCTGACTAAATGCAATCCACCTGGAGCAGGAAATGGCAAGCTACTCCAGTATCTTTGCCAAGAAAACTCCATGGACAGAAACAAAGGACTAAAAGATATGACACTGGAAGATACTGTAAGCCCTTCAGGTTGGAAGGCATCTAACACACTACTGAGGAAGAGTGGAGGACAAGTACAAGTAGCTCCAGAGCTAACAAAGTGGTTGGGCCAAAGCCGAAAGGATGCTCAGCTGCAGACGCGCCTGGAAGACAAAGAAAAGTCCGATGCTGCAAAGAAAAATAGTGCATAGGAACCTGGAATATAAGATCTATGAACCTTGGTCAGCTGGATGTGGTCAAACAGGAGATGGCAAGAATCAACATTGACATCCTGGGCATCAGTGAACTAAAATGGACAGGAATGGGCGGATTCAATTCAGATGATTAGCATATCTGCTATTGTGGGCAAGAATCCCTTAGAAGAAATGGAGTAGCCCTCATAGTCAACAAAAGAGTGGGAAAAGCTGTACTGGGATACAATCTCAAAAATGATAGAATGATTTCAATACGAATCCAGGGCAGACCTTTCAACATCACAGTAATCCAGGTTTATGCACCACCACCAATTCTGAAGAGGCTGAAATTGACCAATTCTATGAAGACTTACAACACCTTCTAGAACTGACAAGAAAGAAAGATGTTCTTCTCATTCTAGGGGATTGGAATGCTAAAGTAGGGAGTCAAGAGATAAAAGGAAGAACAGGTAAATAGCGGTCTTATTACTGCCTCCTTTAAGCAAGCAGGGATCCTACCCTGCTGCAAGGAGGCATTTACTGCTCCCTGTACCCAAATGGCCATTCCTCCTCTGGCTGCTTTTATGAGCCAGGATGGGCAAGGGTCCAGCACATATGTGATGGCATTCACCTCTCCAAGTATCCTGTCCACATCATCAGGCTGCACCAACTGAAAAGTAACCATTAAAACAGGACAAGCCCGGGGCCAAAGTTACATCCACTGGGTTTGTATCAATTACAGCATCAAATAGTTTTGGGTCTCAAATAGTTTTGCCAGAGAAAATTGATATGGAGATATCTGAAGGTTAATGTTTGCAGTAAACAATATCTTCAAGAGTAAATAGCAATTAGGGGTCAGAAGCAAAGGTCTTCAACAGCAAACTTTAAGTTTTTCTAATCTATATATATTTAATTGTTTTAAAATATGATATTTACATAGTGTTTTTAAATCTGTTGTTGTATCTGTTGTGAGTTGCCTTGTTTTTCCTCTATGGGGAGAAAGGTGGCAAGCAAGCAAGCAAATAAACAAATTCTAATTAATTTATGGAATTCACTGCCATAAGATGTGTTGAATGCCATTTAGGGATTTTGAGATAGAGAAATTATTACTTATTTGTGCCCCATTGTTAAATTAGTGGGCAGAATGCTACCAGGCACCAAAATGCTTTGAACCACTACTGAATTAAAGTAGACAAATCAAAGACAATTAAAAATATGTTTTGGCAGTCTTTTAGGTAAATTTAGTTTTGTGTTCTCCAGTTATCTGATTTGGAATTCATTCCATGTTTTGCTTGTTAAGAAGGCAGTTGTTTCTGCCATAATAATAATCATATTCCATCAAGTCAGTTCTGACTTCTGGTGACCCTTTTCAGGGTTTTCAAGGTAGAAAATACTCAGAAGTAGTTTACCATTCTCTTCTTCTGGGGGCGCCCTGGGACTGTGCAGCTTGCCCATGGTGACACAGGCTGGTTCTACTCACAGAAGACATGGTGGCTCTGCAGCCAGATACCTAACTGGCTGAGCTGTATCTTACATGGTACTAATCTCCATTCCCCTTCAATGAACTCCTGTTCACTTTTCTGTGTGTTTTAATTTGTTTATTTTGCAGCACATTTCCTGTTTCTTTGTTTTTCATTCTTGTCAATAAAAGTCTTTAGCCAATAGACACTGATATATGTTTAAGGTTCGGTAAGCATTTCTATCCCCCCCCATTGTTTAAATGTTATTTTTTGTTGAGATTTAAAGAAGAACGTTTAGGCTATGGTCCTGTGCATAATTGTACAGGTTTATAACCCAGTAGTTTATCTGGGATGTCATGTGTGTATGTGTATGATAGATTGTGGCCCAGCTGCTTAACTATAAAACAGGGTTTACCCTGCTGTTCTTACCCTGTTTCCCTGAAAATAACTTGAAAATAAGCCCGAGTATGATATTTCAGGATGCTCATAATAGAAGCCCTATCCCAAAAATAGGTCCTAGTTAAGTGAAAGCCTGCCCTCCACCACTGTGCAGCAACCAGAAGATGACATGACTGTATTTGAATAAATGTAGATGGTTGTACATGAAAAAATAAAACACCCCCTGAAAATAACCCCTAATGCTTTTTTTTGAGCAAAAATTAATATAAGACCCTGTCTTATTTTCGGGGAAACACGGTAACAACAGACCTTGAAAACCTCAGCTTTTTAAAAGCTGAACTTCTACAAGTCCCAAGATAGCAGGGTCAATAGAAATTCTGCTCGGGGCATTCTGGGAGATGTAGTCCAAAAAAAGGGGTAATGTTTCCAATGCTCTGTTCAAAAGGGAGGGGCAAAATGTTGTGGGGAATCAATTAAGCCACATAAGACATCAAGTTTATTCCAACCCTCCATTGTTTTATTTTGTATTATATCATCACTGTATACATAAAAAATTTCTTTTCCACTTAAAGGTAGAGACCTGTGGGTTCTTGCTCTGGGAAGGTTTCCAACCCAACATAAGATTGGCATACCAGAGTTCAAGTATGTTGCTAATATGCATGGGGATGAGGTACGTCTATAACTTCAATTGTTGCAGTTTTCCTTTACAATCTTATTTGCTGAGTGTCTTGGAAGTAGCCCTGGTCTTTCCCTCAGGGGTTCTTTTTTTAAAAAGAAAAAAGAAAGAAAAAAAGAAAAAGAGGGTTGGATGTGGAGATTATGATCTTACTTAAGTCCTGCCCAGCTCTTAGAAATTAATATGTCCTAAAGGTCGTTAGAGGGAAGTCATTAGATTTGTGCTAAATACACTGAAATTATGCTCAAAGTTATTTTTACCCATAAATGTTTAGAGCAGGTGTTTTCTAGTACCATTTTTCAGTACTGAATAGTAGATCTTTTCTGACCTTATTTCATTAATGACGTGCTACTTAACTGACAAAGAAATGTGTACATAAACAATAATGGACAAAATAATACATACCTCTTCTTAGTGAATTAAATTCCCTAAGGTGTCTGTCTTTAAACAAACCACATGAGATGGCTCATTCTGGCACACTTCTCACCCTTTCTGGCAGCCAGAAATAGTAATTCCACAGGCATTTACTGACTTACTCCAAGACCCATTATTCTTGTGACCAAAAGTGGATGTCAGTCATAGCTATGGCTGAGATAGCATTCATACTTACTTTCATTTTACTTTAGTTTGAAACTTCCTTTAAATGGTTATATCTTATAAAAATAATTAGATTCTAATTGTATTTACACACACAGAGAAGTGATATAGACAGGTGTTCAGACTGGCTGACATTACCCAAAACAAAATTAAGTGAAGAGAAATCCTATGAGCTTTAGTCACACATTATGTGTCACTGTGCTCAATGCATCTTACTCCCTCGTAAGTATGTATACCCAATTACCTGGGAGTAAATTTAATTAAAATCTGTGGGACATTATCTGTGAGTAAACATGCATAGGGGCATGCTGTAAGTGTCTGGGGAAATACTTCATTCCATGTATTATAATGGGATCCCTTTCTGATGGAAATAAACACACACAAAAATTTTTGAGCAAAACATGTTCTTGGGCAAGTACACAAATCTTTGTAAAGTGTTTTGACCAATATTTAGTCATACCAATAAGGGCACATGTTACAGCACATAGATATAAAGCAATTACAGCAAAATTCACACATTCCACTAAAATAGTTTCTAAATATGTATGTGTGACTGACAGCAATTCAGTTTTTAAATATATTTAAAATCAGATGCAAAGGGGCCAAGAAACTCTCTTGAGCAGGGTTTTTTGCACCATGCAGGGCTGCAGCAGAAAGGGGAGGTGAAAGAAGTCCGTATTCTGTTGCCATTGTATATATCAAAATACACTATTTGATCTTGGCCTTTTGTGTTTAACTGTTTCATTGAAATAAGTGCAATGGCACAGATTCCATGCTAGAGCCTTCTTTTACTTAGAAACAGAAGGAAAAGTTTGGTACATAATATGCTAATACTGTAATTAACTACCAATACTCTGTGGCCAAGATGCATCTATATGTCTAATGTCCATTCAGTGTCACACATTCTTTACCCCTACAATGAATAAAGATATTGAAAGCATTTTGGAATACCAGCAATATCAGAAAACGAATGTCAGGTTTACAGACGTGTGGTAGATGAGAGCTGTTTGGCTGCAGCTTCAGGAGTATCCCATCTCCCTGTTTACTAGTGTGCATGATATAACTGACGCTTAGCTGCACAGAATCCTCCCATCACTATTCCTGGGTAAACCATCTTATTAAAGGGACAGCATAATGGTTTCAATCTGTGGACTCCCTTCTAACACTGGAATTCTATCTTCGTGCTGCTTGTTGTGCCTTGCAAGGGATAGAATGTCTTGCAGTCCATTCCTACATAAAGGGATACATAAAGGGATACATAAAGGGAGACAAAGTGATTCTCTGATTTCCATTTCCACCTCACAGGGTAGCAGGGAGAGAGTTACTAGCAAAGGCATCTGAGATGGGTGTGAACTTGTTAAATAGTATATCGATTTCTCCTCACCTCACTTTGTTCCAGTCTTTCCTCAAAAGTATCCTTAAATGTGATTGTGAATTGTCTTGAGATTTTGAAGAGGCAACACTAATTGGCTCCATATTGCACATTGACTTTGGCAGCAACAATAATTGTACAGAAACATTTAGTTATTATTGTTATTAATTTTACTTTTAGTTGGATGAATACTCTTTCTTTCTCTCTAAGCTGTGGATTTCTTTTGCATTGATTGGTTTGCATAATTTTGTTTACAATATAAATTTAATATGCAAATGAATGCTTGCTGATGAAACCTCCACTATTCTTCCAGTGGAAAGCCCTCACTAATAATTAAGAATATGAGTAAAACTTATCATTTAGGCATTTTTCACATACTTTGTCTGATCCTCTGGGCTTTTGTTACATACTGTACTTTGTCTGAACTGCAATGTGTATATTTGGCTGGAATATTGTATATGTTTGGAGAAGGGAAAATACCCAGAAAAAAAGATATAACTTCAAAGTTAAGCAGAGGCATGTCTGCCTCTGTTCTAGATTCACTCTCAAGTTTCAGCCTAAATTCAAATTACCTGGCTGAAGTGATGTTTGCCTTTTCTTAGGCAGAAAAAGCATAATGATCACTCAGAGGCAGTGCTGGGAAAGAAGTCACCATGTTCGACACGTGTATCCAATGGACAGAAGCATAGCATCTGGAGTGGGCTCTTCTAGTGTTGTCAGCGGGGAGCATAGCTGAAAGGGGACCAGGGTGAAATGGCCATTGAGAACTAGCCACTAGTATAATAAGAACTGAGCAGGCATTAATGGAAGCATCCATACAATCCTATACCTGCCTGCTCAGAAGTACGACAAGTGATTTCAGTGGATCCTGTTCTCAGATAAGTGTAAGTAGAATTTTAGCCTCAAATGATTATCAGGAGCCCTTTGCACCATTGTGTCTATTATTCAGCAAATAATGACAATTAGTGTTTTTCAGTGCGTCCCTAATATCACATGGAACAACCTTGCAGTTATAGTTTGTTATAGGCAGTGGTTAGCTTGCCGTTCCAACAGGGGATAGCACCATCCCATAGCATTTCAGGGTGGAGTGCTGCACCTGTTCCAGTCTTAAGCTGCCTTTGATTATAAGGGTGTTTTCAGATGAGGCTTTTATTGTGCAATTGTCCTGGTATTTTGCAAGAGGCCCAGACTGTGTTGCCTTCCACTTGTATCTCTCCTGCATTTTCCTATTGCTCTTTGTCTTTTTTATTTCTTATTAGAAAAAAATTGAGAAGAAAGGTTGAAAAGCTGCAGCTCCTTTTGATTTTCAGGGCTGGAAGACAGGGAGGATTCAAGTGGGTTGTGAGCTGTACCCCTGCTTTTCTCCCAGGAAAACCCTGAAGAGCTTTTCTCTTTCATTCAGTCCTGAAAAAGGAAGACCCAATATGTAAATGTGGGTACTTGGTTGTATACTCCAACCAGCAAACTGTAATCTGATTAAAAATGTTCCTTTAGTGCTCTGTGTCTCTTTCTCTCTACACCAGCAAAGCAATAGCTTTGTGTCACTTTGTTGAAAGGGAGGCCCCTACTTTGCTGACAAAGAAGCATTCTTTACACATAGCTATAACTGATAGTGCCAATGGGAGCAAAGTTCTTTAAAACTATGCATGACCCTTTCCAGAAGAAAACAACAACAACAAACCAATTGGGAAGCATTCTGCTGCTTCCCAGTGAAACTGTAATGGTAGTAGTTGTTACTACTGCTGCTACGACGACGACTAATTGTAACTCATATTTCTTTTCTGAATCCCAATTTTATCCCTAGTGATTAGGGATTTAAAAAAGCATTTTGCTACCTGAAGCAAAGCAATGCGTGATGCTTCTTTCCATTAGGGTGCATAGTACCCAAAGCCACAGAAACTTTTCCTCCTCTCCAGCAGTAAAAATACAATGATATAGATTTAAAATAATGAATAACTTGCTGCCTTTTCACTATATGCAGAATCTGCTGCTTTAGGAAACTGTCTTACTCTGCTTAATGGTAAGGATGGTCCTGCCTATGAAATATTTGCCTTTACTTCTACTTTGCTTGGTGTGGTATTGTTGAAAACTATAATTTATTTCTAACCGAACTGAATAACGCCCATGAGATGAGTCAATGGCAAAGCAGGAATAAAATGCTGGGTATTCCTAGCTCACAAGCACAAGCTAGCCTTCTTTTTCTGCATATTTGAAGTATGGAAAATGAAGAGGAAGAGAGTTTTGAGCTTTAGATTCTCAACCAAGGAAAATTAAACAGGCCCCTTTCCAAACACAGTAGTTTAGAAAATTTGGATTTCCTTGCTTAGAAACAGAGTTTTGGAAAGTCCAGGCTCCCCCTCTCAAAAGAAACAGCACCCCATACGGGGTACCTTTCCCCAACTGAGTGCCAGATACAATTCATGCTTGTAATGCAGAATTAATAACTTCAGGTGGCTAAACAGTCTTATTCATCACTTCTGTCAGACGGCATGCTCTACCTCCTCTTCAGATGTCATGTGAAATGTTAACAGGGACAATACTGTCTTCTGTCTCCACCCTTTTCGTAATATTCCTTGCGTTTCTTTCTGCATCAGATCTTTATGTCAAGGGTTAAGAATCATTATGGCAGACGTGCTGAAGATAGAACACATTGCTGCTGCCACCCTGTTATGCCAAACATACACTTTCACATTCTTTTCCAGCTGATTATAGCATTAGATTTTTCAAATCCTGAGTTAACTTTGATCCACTTTCCTAATACTTTTTTCTTCCCTATATTCATGTTAATTGTTATAAAAGTTTGGTAGCTTCTCTTTCTATGTCTTGGACAATATTGGGTTGGATCAGAAATTTCCCTTTCTTTGATGGTAGAAGCTTCCTCCACCAGAAAAACTTCTTCTCCTTGGATCCCATTACCATGATTCACAACTTTTCTGCTCATTTTTCTTTATGTGGTATGTGTTTCTCTTAATCTGCTATTTTCTTGATATTTTTGTTTTTTCCTCCATTCATGAAGCACTAGTCTTCTTAGTTAAACCTCCACTCTGTTCTGCAGTTCCTCATTTCTGTTTGTTTGTTTTACTTTTATGGCCTCTTGTGACAAATTAGATTTATCCCTTGGTGCCTGTGTAGGCATTTCAGCATGCTAAATAGTTATTCTAATTGCTGTTTAATATTACAGCCTGGCTTAATTCTTTGTGCCTGCTATTCCTGCTATAGGTTGCTTCTGCTATACAGTTTTACTCTTTCAACTGTATTGTGCTCTGGCAGCTGATGCTCAAGGATGACGATTTCTAAAGAAATAGAAAACAAAACACACACACACACACACCTTCATTCTATAGGGCAGGATTAAATTAGTTAACGATTAGAGATGAGGGTATTTGTATTCCTATACAGTACTAATATGAATATCCCAGTGCAGCTGGAGTTAATGAGGGTCTGGCCCCTGGGGCCAAACTGTCCACTCACACACCTGCCACTCATCCTTTCAATCAGCTGCTCCTGAGTGCCGTTCTCTTCCTGGTCATCTAGCCACTCCTGGCAGAGGGAGGGAGGACGAGTCTCCCTGCAAGGCTGCCGAGTGGCTAGACGAGCAGTGCTCCAGAGCAATTGGAAGGAAGACAGGGGCTGTCGCAACCGGACGTGTGAGTGGACGGTCCAGTCCCAAGGGCCGGCCCCTCATTAACTTCAGCTGTGCAGGGATATTTGTATTTGTATACCACCATCTCTAGTTACAATTATCTTGTCCCATAATTTTCAATGTGTCTACACTAAGTACAAATAAAGTTGGATTGAACACAGTTCCTGGAATCCTGTTGCTTAGCATAGCATAGCAAATCACAACCAGAATAGAGGGGTAGTTGTGACGATTTTGTTAGTGACCTCCTCCATAAGTTCTATTGATTCAGTGGGCTTATTCTAGCTGCTGCTGTTGGGAGTGGTAGTCCAACAACATCTGGAGGGCCACAAATTGTATGTGTCCATGGTGGTGTAAAAAAAAATATCATGTGTGTGAAATATCACTGCTGTGGTTCTGGCAATCAGTGGTCCTTTCCTCCTGGTCCCTGCCAAAAAGATGTGCCTGTAAAATGGTTTACTTCCACATGAATGGAATTACTGGGAAAGTGGACCTCATGGGTGGACTCGTGTTTCAGTGTGAACAAGTTCCAGCAATGCTCAGAAACAATGAATGGTATAGCTGTGTTGAAACTGGCAGAAACGTGCGCTCATCTTTCAGGACTGTTTGGATTGGGGTGAGGGGGAGATGATAAAACAAGCAATGTTGACTACCATATTTTGTTCACATGTTTTAGGTGCTTTGTCTTACATCTGTATCATGCATTACCTTTCCATCTGATGCCAGCTAATATCTGTGTTTCTGCTTATTGGCAGTTGCCTTTAAAAATAACCACTCTGCTTTTTAACACAGTCAGTTGGGCGAGAGTTGATGCTCCATTTGATAGAATTTTTGGTGACCAACGATCAACACGATCCAGTGATTACCAGGCTTATCGACAACACCCGAATACACATTCTGCCCTCCATGAACCCTGATGGATTCGAAGCAACCACACAGTTTGATTGTTTCCCACCATATGGCAGGTAAAAAAAAAGATATAGCTGAGGATGGACTGGAACATTTGTGGGATGAAAAATCTTAGGATAAGTTTGCAGTGTGGTCCTGAAGCTCACATTTCACTTATCCTAATAAATTTTGTTAAGCATTTGTTTCTGCCTACTATGAATTCAAAACATAGCCTGCCTTGAATTAGGATCCCTTCAGATCCTAATCTGTAAGAGGCTTCTCCTTGGCAATTTGTGTTTTCTTTGCTCCAGTCAGTCTCATGTACCCTTGTCTTATCTCATCACCACCTTTCCATGGTTAGTCATGTCCCACCTTCTGTAACCATTCTCAAGGCACCAAAAATTCTTTCTAGGTGTTCTTCTGGCATTGCAGTTATCTCTTACCCCTTGAGCTTATGCTGCTTGTTGCTTACTAGATTTCCTGGCCTGACACAGCCTTGCCACGTATGTATGCAGTACCTACCTATCTGTATGAATTTGCTTGGAACTTACATCTGGTCATCTTCTTGACCACAAAGTATCTTAGTTGTTTATTGATCATGTTGTCTGGTGAAATCTATGCTTTTGTTGGCTTTCTTCTATCAATACTCCTCCAAGGAGCTGGACTACAAGGGCATTTACTGTAAGTTGGCACTAGATCATCAAAATACATTACCTTGTCAACCAAGAACCACCAAGAACTGTGCTGCTTGCATGATAAACCCAGAATTTTGTACAAGTTTTCTCAGTTCTTACTTTGCACTTTCTCCACTTTGCAATACTGTTTTAAAGCAGTATCATGGAAAATCACTTATGGACTTGTAACACAGATTAAATTCATCTTAGCGGAGGCTATAGTCAGTGGACAAGAACATGCGTCACGGGATAGAGATCCCAGATTCAATTCTACAGTCTGCAGATAGGGCTGGGAAAGTCCACATCATAAATCTTGGATAGCAGCCAGCAGTCCTTGTACACAATACTGAATAAGGTGGACCAACGGGCAGACCTGTTGTAACAAAGCTTCCTATGTTCTTTCTAGAACTCCAAGCATAGAACTATTTGTGCTGGATGGCTGAATTCTTTTAAGCTTCAGGGCAATTTTTGAACTGAAATAAATAAGTATGATAAAGAAGATACTTCTTCCTGCTCAGTTAGGTTGCAGTCCAAAATTTCCATCCTAAACCAGTTTGCTTGAAAGTATGTTTCAGACTAAAGACTAAATAATATTAATTTTATCCTGCTAAGGTACAATGCGAATATGCAAGATCTGAACAGGAACTTCCCTGATGTCTTCGACAGTAATAATGCCACAGTTCAGCCAGAGACTCAAGCAGTGATGGACTGGATAAAAAATGAGATGTTTGTCCTTTCTGCCAATCTACATGGAGGATCACTGGTTGCAAGCTACCCTTTTGATAATGGCAATTCAGGTAAACTAAAGCTTATGTTTTTTATTAGGAATAGAGATGGGCATCAACCACCTATTTGCCTGTTCGTGCCTGTTTGTTTTCTATCTGAACAGGTGTTCGATGTTTGCCAGCCCCGCCTCCTCCAGCAGGCGCCCACTCAGAGGCAGCTCCCTGGCTTCCCTACCCTGCCTCCTCTGGTCTCTGCCTCTGATTTGGCGCCTACCAGAGGATGTGGGGTTGGGAAGCACTGCACACCTGTCCGGCTGCTAAACGAACTGGCATGATCCACTGTGCCCATCTCTAGTTGGGCACTAAATATACTATTAGACCATAGGTGATGTTGCATGAAATATGGTACAAAATAGTTCCTATACAGTACGTGATATAAAACAGCTATCCCCAACTTGGTGTCTTCCAGTTGTGTTGAACTGCAATACACATCACTCCCAGTTGCCATGTCCAATAAAAGTGTTAAGGAAGGTTGTTGTCCATACCAACTGGAATGCCCTTAGCAAAGGTGGATATGAAGAACTGAAAGACTTGAGTTTCATTACACAGGCACACTAATCCATGTACCCCTGTCTATCAACTTATCCACATACTTAGACTTCTGCTACTGTATCACTTACTTACTCTCAGAAGTATAAAATCAAAGAGGTGCTTCTGCATTCAGTAGAAAATTGGATGTTATGCAAACATATACATACATAAAGACATTGTTCTGAATATTAAAGAAATGTGGAAATGGGACATTCTGTGAGTCATCTAAAATTCACAACTTGATATCTAGCTTATGATAGCAGCCAACACTGCTGTGGACAACAAACCAAGCTATATGTCCAGCATTTTAAAAAAATGATTTGAAATATTTTTACCCTGCCTTTCCCATAAAAATGGACAACAAATTAAGCCATATGTCCAGCATTTTAAAAAAATGATTTAAAATATTTTTACCCTGCCTTTCCCATAAAAAAGGACCCAACGTGGCTTACATTGTTAAAAAAAGCTAAAAATAGTCAATTATTAAAGAAGAATTAATAACATTATATTAAGCTAAAAACAGTCAATTATTAAATCTTAAAGAAGAATTAATAACATTATATTAAAAATGTTACATTTAGAATTCTAGTACTTTCCCTCTTATACTGTATGTCTCAACACTGTATGTCCCAAAGTGGACCAGTAGATTAGCTCTAAGGAAAGCCTGGAAAAAAATCAGGCTATCCATGAAGTTTTAATAGTGGATGTGGCTTGTGGAGAGATCTGAAGGCAGAGGAAGCATGTTATTTAAAGCCATCCCCTTAGACATGTGTCAGCAGGGATGAAATGACAGTGTCTTCCATTCTGTGTACTGTCCCCCTGCCTTCCAATTCACAGGTCTTCCTCTCATTGATTACAATGGGTGCAAAAAGAACTGTGTCACGGTTGGCATCCAACTTTCCCATTCTTTGGGCATGTTGAGGGCATGGAAGGGATTGAGTTCCTCCAAACCCACAGTTTTTCCTGATACAGTTAAGGAATATTCTCAGAACATCTGCTTTTTATGCTTTTTTCAGAAGAACACTGGCTGTGGATCTTCTAGCAGCTTCCGTAGAGATAAATGTGTAATGTTTGATCTCCCGCTGAAAGGCTGGATCTGTTTCTCTGCTTTTGTAGTGGAAGATCCTAAAAGCTTCTATGGTCTGCCCTTCCTGGGTTGTCTTCACAGGGACCATAGGACTGCAGCATTAAGAAGTCTTTCTAGTGGTATCTACAATCATCCCCAATAGTTGTATGGGCAAAAGTACTGGCATTAGATGCAATACTACATACACATTTGCACACAAATATATCCCTAAACATTGATCAATTTAGGATTGGGACTATCAATTTTTCTTATAGTTACCATTACTTCAGATGATATTAGCAGAACTCTGGATAACGACATCTTTATGCATCTTGCAAGGACGTACGCTAGCAATCATGCCATCATGTATGAAGGAACTCCGTGTCACAATGGAGATGACTTTCCAGAGGGCATCACAAATGGGTATGCTTGGTACAGGCTGAAAGGTAAGAATTTCATGTCTATTTGTCTGCAGTGCCTAATTTTTTCTGCTTACTTTGTATATTCTGAGGCAGAAGTTCCCACATTGGATTCCTAAGTGTTTTTGGACTACAATGTCTAGAAGCCTAGACGATTTGCTTCATTGGCCTTTTAGTTGGCTAGAGTTGTAGGACAGCAATATTTAGGGAATGATTTTTTTTTTTGTTGTGAGGAAGGACTGTGGGCAGAACTCTGTTCTCATATTGGAAATAAGCCCCTGTGCTCAGGGAGCAGCTGCTCAGAGGCTCAATTCTATGTTTATTGGGTTTTTTGCTTTTGTTTTTGCACATGGCTCCAACTGATTAATGTCAGGGATCTAGTAGAAGGCAAAATAGATCCTGCAAACAACAAGGTTGCATCCAGATGGATGTAGCTGATGCTACTGTTCAAAAGTCAAATTATTCTGACTCTCATCACCCAGGGCCTTACCATTAGCCACACTGAGGCCAATGCCCCAGTTGCTATGGTGCTGTGGATATCAGATGTGCGGCTTTCTGTCACCACCATTACCTGTACCTCAAGGATACACTGTTTGTAAAAGCTGCCCCATTGCGTTATCCAAGTCTGGAGAGGGAGGCATCCAACCGCCCTCCATTGCAGGTGATAGCAACTTTATATGTTTTCCTGTACACATGGAAGTGTTGCCACCTGTAGCAGGTGATGGCCCTTTCCTCTCCAGGGCCACGCAGGGTGATGGTGATGGAAGGCAGCATTTTCCTTCCATCCTAAAGCAATGAGAGAGGGAAGGCTGCCCCAGATAATTGCCCTAAGAAAAAGAAGACAGTAAGACATAGTGGGAAATCATCGTTACAACCGACAGACGAGGATGTATGGAGCCCTCCCATCCTCCCAGTTTGTATGATCAAGAAAGGGCAGTTGCATGATAAGAACCTTATTTAGAGGGCATCTCAGAATCTATTTGTCATTTTTCAAAGGATTTTTTAAAACAGATTTTTGTACTTTGAAGACCTTCTGGATTACAACTGTGTTTTGACTCCTCATAACTGTGGGCATAGGGGCCAATAGGGGATCCTTTTCTGGATCATATCCCAGTAAAAATGCAGAAATCAATGAACAAGGTTTTAATTGTGTCTGAGTTTAGCCTAAGAGAGATTGTGCAGGTGTAGTTACGAGGAAGTGAGATATGCAGTGATGCGTGACAAATTAATTTGCTTTCCAAAGCTTCAGTGAGCACATTACCACTGAACAAAAAGGTCTGTGACTTTGAAAAGATGATGTGTACAGCCTTTGAAATTTGGCAGACCACCGGTATTACTGACGTGCAGAGAGATAAAATAGAGCGCTTCATGGAATATGCTTATGGGTGTTTTCAAACATCAGCTTCTCTTGTTTTGGCTGGTCATAAGTCAGGAAAATAAGACTTGCATTGGGTAGAATGCACTTTCAATTTCTGTACTGTGTCCAACATGAACATTTTGTGCTTTTCATTATCACGTGAGGAGGCTGAAGTGTGCTTATTTTAGCATTGGTTATAAAAGAATAGAAAGAAGCAGTAGTTTTTTATATACATAGTCTGCTATGATGGATGCTGGACAAGAAAAAGAATTGTACAGTATGGATGGAGGAGAAAAGTCAGCTTCTGTGGGTGCAACCTGTTCTAGATAGCCTTGTTGTGCAGTAATAAATAGCGCAGATGTTGGCATCATTGATGTAATGGCCACTCATGAAGACAATACTTTGTAATGAGGGTGAGGCCATCATTCTTTTAAGCAGTTAGTCCTAGTTTTAGCATGTTTAATAAAAATAATAAGAAGGCTTGTGGCATCTTAAATGCAAATGTGTGACCTTTCATGGATTGCAGTCCACTTCATCAGATGCATGGAGTACAAAGACTGTTTGTTTTTAAATGCACAGCTAGAATTCTTTCTTTTTGTTATTATTATTTATATATGTTGAAACATGCTAGAACCGCTCTCTGTATTATGTGCTCTAATTTACAATGTACAACAATTAATTTACAATAATCCTGGTAGAACTTTCAAGATAAATGAGATATTTAAGGAATTGTTTTAGCAATTCCACATATCCCCATGAGTTTCTATGGTCAAGCAGGGAAATGAACTCAGGTGTCCTGAGTCATAGCTTATCATTCTGTCCACAACACCACACTAAAGCAAAAAGCAAAGCGTGCTGCTTATATACCGCCCCATAGTGCTTCAAGCACTCTCTGGGCGGTTTACAAGTTAATTATGCAGGCTACATACTGCCCCCCCCCCCAGCAAGCTGGGTACTCATTTTATCGACTTCAGAAGGATAGAAGGCTGAGTCAACCTTGAGCCGGCTACCTGGGATTGAACCCCAGGTCGTGAGCACAGTTTTGGCTGCAGTACAGCGGTTTAACCACTGCGTCACGAGGCTCTAGATACCCACAACTACTTCTTGTGAAAATGCTTAGTGCGGTAGGTGACCTCACCTGTCTTATGAAGTGTGCATTAGCACACATTTCAACACCTTGTTTACATGTCTAAAAAGGAACAGGTTTGTGTCACCAATAAAATGGCAAATTTGGTGGTCAGGGCCTTGGCAGAAGCACCAAGAACAGCCAGCTGATAATTATTTCAATAGTGATACAGTATAAGTAGGTGATTTGGTGTCAGAATTGTTGCTCGGTAATGTGGTGCTGAATGAACAGCTGATCATAGGATCTAGCCATGATCTCCATTTGTGTGACCAAATTTTAAAAATATGCTCCTCAAAGTGAATCTACTTAACACAATTTATCATTGTGTTTGGTACAGCCCCTCTATAAAGCCTCATGTGCACTTGAAAAGTTCCTGTTTATAATGATGGGAGATGGAGAGTGAGCAGTATTAATTATTTGCAGATTATATGTATTCAGGTCACTGTGGAAAATAATAATTAACTGTAGTCTGAAATGAGTCACTAAAAAGGTGAGGTGAAAAGCATCCCCTGCCTCATCCATGTATATGTGACTCTTCAGTGTTTAAAAAATGCAGTCTGAGTAATTTATGTTTAGGACTGCAAGTAGTTTCTATGTGCCACATTTGTAATCAGATTGTGGCTCTCTGCCCCAAACTAACTCCAAGGCACAGCTTGGAAAAGTTATCTTTTTGTGCTATAACTACCAAAATCTAGAAACTGTAGTTCAAAAAGTAGCTTTTCTAAGCTCAAAAAACATGTGTGTATATCCACTGAAAAGTGGGATCAGTGTAGTAATAACACTGCCTTTATTTTAATTTATGCAACAGTGGAATATAGTGAGCACACCCAGGGAGTAATGGCAAAACATGGTGATGCCAGCCGCAGATCTGGTCCAGTGATGACTTTTCAGCTGGTAGGCTGCTCAGGCATTATTTTTTTGTAACAGAAGTACAGTTTCTCCTTAGAGGCAGCCTAGGACAGAGACGGACCTGGGGGCAAACGACTAAGGATGCTGGAGATGGAATTCTGGAGAGCCCTTGATCCAGTCTCCCTCTGTCTCTCTTTCCCTCCACACCTACTCTTTTCTTAGTGGCATTACAGTAACATATTTATACATTTACTTTTTAAGGTGGGATGCAGGATTATAACTACATCTGGGGACAGTGCTTTGAAATTACACTAGAACTATCATGTTGTCAATATCCACCAAAAGAAGAGCTTCCATCCTTCTGGAATGACAATAAAATTGCTCTGATCGAATACATTAAACAAGTTCATCTTGGTAAGTTGTACTGTACTGGCTGAATGCAATGTATCACACATCATACTCTGTCATAAATCTTGTGGAATATGACAATAGCGATAGGACTGAAAAAACAGTCCGGTGAGCAGCTAGAAGCAGCAGCAAATGCTACTATAGTCTTGCCATAGGCAGCTTGCCCATACAATGTGCAAATACAATTAAATCATCTTTATGTAGTGAACCGAAGCTGCTAGGAGCTTCTTGGAGATGTGGTGATTAATTAAAAAGGTTTGAAATGCAATAAAGTGAAAATAAGTATGTGAAAAATGGTACATCTCTGTTATACCTAACATCCACATTCAGTTTTGGTTGCAAGACATACGGGTGTTGTGGCAGGATAGCGCTTGCCCTGTTCTCTCTGTGAAATTGCTGTTGATGGCTAGTGATGAGAGAGGGCACTTTGCCAGAGCACGAGGCATGCATTATGGTTCATTTCCAGCACAGCAGAGGTCTTGGAGGCCAGGATTATCATTGTTCATATTGCAAGCGCAATGGACAATAGCATGAGTGATCTGATGTTTCTGCCCTTCTTGCAAAAGGGCAAAAATAGCTAGTATCTCCATAGCAGAAATCCCGTATGCTCAGATAGTGATCCTGACACGTGCAGTAGGAAGCAGGAAGATGCTGTGGCTTAACCCAGGCAGAGCATCCCAGGCAGCTTGATTCTTCTGGAAGGCGACATGTGTTTCTCCATTGTTTTGTTATATATATTTGCATGAGTTAGGTGTCAGCTAGAAAAGGTCTAGTATCCAGTCCTGAAGAACGATGGCTTCTCTAAATATTATGTGTGAAAAATCCTTCAAGCATAATGCATTTTACATACCTTTCTCTCTCTTTCATTGTTCCATATTTAGGGCTTAGAGTTTGTGTTTGTTTGTAAATAAAAATCCCCAATCTTCCAATTGGCATGGAATTTGACTACAGTTGCAGTTTAAGTGCCAGCATTGGAACCTTTACAGTACAGTGGTGCCTCACTTAACGATGTTAATTGGTTCTAAAAAAAAACATCGCTATGGGAAAACATCACTAAGCGAAACACTATTTCCCATAGGAATGCATTGAAAACTGGTTAATCCGTTCCAATGGGAACAGATTACCGTCCTTAAGCGAAAATCGCCATAGGAAATAACGCTAAGCCAAACAGTGTTTCCCCCATTGGAATGCATTGAAGCCTACTCAATGCATTTCAATGGCTTTGCGATGTCCATTTTCGCTCATTTAAGTGTCTTAACATGTTTGAAACCTGTTTTAAATGCTTGGAATCGTTAGTGCACCTTGTGAAACAGTTGCAAACTTAATTTGGCTTTGTTCTGAGTCTTCGTTAATTTTTGGTGAATTCCCCCCCCCCATTGGAATGCATTGAGTTCATTCAGTGCAATGCATTCCAATGGGGGGGGGAAATGCACCAAAAATTTAAAACAGGTTTCAAACATTTTAAGACACTTTTAAATGAGCGAAAACTGACATCGTTAAGTGAAAATCGCCCATAGAGAACATTGTTAAACGATGCGGAAAATTCCTCAAAAAAACCCATCGCTAAGTGAATACATCATTAAACAAAGCAATCGCTAAGCGAGGCACCACTGTAACTATGTAACTATTACTTTAGTTTTTAAACTAGTTGAGCTCCTTTTACTAATAATGCACAAATGCAGAACTAAATGACATGTTAAGAACTTTATTGCAACTTTTCCTTGAATTTTAAAAAATTTCATTAAAAAAATAAAACATTTTAATAAATTTTCCAAAATTTTAATCAGTAAAAAAGGTGCAGTCCAGAGTAGAAGGCGGCACCGGGAAGTGGGATACATAGTATTTTATACTGATTTTCATCTCTTAAAAAAACAACTATCCCTCACCCTCAAATTTTAAAATTTTGCTCTTGATTGGGTTCTCTAAACATTATATGTGAAAAATCCTTGAGATATTTTTATTTTATAAATCAACAGCCCTCCAAGTCTACTGTTGTTCTGTGATGCTCAGTTTCTGTCAGAATAGCCCCATTTCCTTAGTGTAAGGTTACTGCAACTTATGCTGTGTATTGTCTGCTGAGAACAATTTCCCTAAAGATCCCCCTACAGTGAGCAAAACTGCCCAAAGTTCCTGTGGCATGAAGCAGCACTGCCCTCCTGTGGTTTGCAAGGGGCAGGACTTTAAACCCAGGTACATGCTGATTTCACGGGCTGGCATAAACACTGCTAGACCAGTTATTCAGAATAAGTCTTCTTTCTGCCAGAAGAAAAACAAGTTTCCTCATTTAATTTAAAACTAGGCACTGTTTTATGGGATGGTTTTTTGGCTCTACATATTTCCTGTTCCAGGTTCTTCTCAGATTACAAAGCAAACAGTCATTAATAAATTGTGATTTTTGAGAAGAGGTAGCCATGGAAGAAAGCAGCTGCATTCTAGTCATGAGCAAGCACTGAGAGCCACACAAAATATCCCTGCTTATCCTCCCTCACACACTTTTTTTTCCTTTTGCCTCATAGGTGTGAAAGGTCGTGTTTTGGATGCACATGGAAAACCTATTCCAGATGTGATTGTGGAAGCTACAGGAAGGCGGCACGTATGTCCTTATAAAACCCACAGAAATGGAGAATATTATCTTCTGCTGCTGCCTGGCTCCTATACACTTAATGTAGGTTTTCTTGCCCAGCACAGTGAATGATAGTGAGGGCCAAAATTGCTCATATTTACAAAATACTTGTACACATAGACAGGGCTGGCCAGTTTTTCCTTCTTGTTCCAGACCATCAAGGTCCAGGGAGCTAGGGTGGAAGAGGAACTCTGTGGATATTATGGGGTTTAGTAGATGTTGTGTTATAAAACTGGTGGAAGTCAGTATCAGGTAGCTTCTTAATTTCCACTGTGAAACTAAAAGGATTGTATCAGTATACTGACAAACTTTATGTTCCCCACTCTGTTTGTTTCTAGGCAACAATACCTGGATTTTTGTCACTGCTACATGATGTGTATATACCTAATGGGACAGCAAACTTCAGTGCCCTGCAGCATGACTTCATTTTTCCCAGTAAAAAACCTGCCAGAATAGAGCCTGCTTCATGTCCTACAAAGCCACTTTATTCTATGGATTACCATAAAAGCACATCAGCCACACTGAAACCTCCAGTAAACACCTTGATTTTCATCTACATTTTATATGAAGTTTTCAGTTAAATTCTTTGTGTATATTTTTTGAAAGTAATTGAAAAACTGTTTCTGAACATGTAAGACTTAAAATTGGGCTACACAATCTGACAATAAATAGTGGACATTTCAATATAATATTACATACTCTGGGGGGATGTGAGTGCATTGTAGTTGTAGACTTCTATTTTTTTCCTAATTATGTTTATTTCTGAGGTTTTTCACTATGAACTAGGTGGCCTTCATATAAATCTTTCAAAATAAGATTACAGCTACCAGTAGAACCTGGACTAAGCAACACTTTTAGTTTCTCCATCCATTATAGCATTCTAGCCTAGATTACAATAACAATAAGACTAACACTAGTTTTTACTGGTCAAAGTGAAACAACAGGACAAGTTAATGGAAACTATTTCAAAATACTGTACCTGTTTCATATTGTATCTAAGTCATTTGTCATTGGTGAAAATTAAGGTTAATGGAAACTATTTCAAAATACCCGTTTCATATTGTGTCTAAGTCATTTGTCATTGGTGAAAATTAAATACAGTACAAATAATCTTACAGGCTATACCCACTCTGAAACAGGTTCAAAGCAATTGGACAGTTTCTGTTCACACTAGTTGTTTCAACTTTCCATATTGCTTTCATATTGCTTTACATTTTGAAACACCTTTGCTATTTACCTTTGACGGCAAAATGAACAGAAGACACCACTTGCTCCTGTTAAAGTTACTAGCATTGCAAGAAACTATAGTCTAGGGCACTGATGGCAAACCTATGGCACGCGTGCCACAGCTGGCACACAGAGCCCTCTCTGCGAGCACATGAGCCATAAGTTGCCGGATCGCTACTCCCCCCCCCAAACCTGAGGAGGCAGCTGCAGCTGTGGCATTGGTGCTTCAACAGGTGGTGGGCCAGGATCCAGAGCAGCTGGTGACAGATCCGGAGTGGGGTCTTGGGTCACTTCCGTGGCCGGGATTCCCACTTCCGCCACCACTTCCAGTTCCGCCACCGCCGCAGCCCACTACCTGCTGGGTTTATATATATATTTTTTTTCAGTTTGGGCACTTGGGTCCAAAGAGGTTTGCTGCCACTGGTCTAGGGTGACAAATTGTGACCCTCCAAATTCTGTTGGAGTAAAACTACCATTAGTCCTAGATTGCACAGCCACTGGTAAGGGAGGATGAAGGTTGCAGACACAAAAAAGAGATAAAAAGCATGTTGCCTTTAAACCTAACGTAGTTAATACAAATAAGCACACATCAGGAAAGAACATTAAATACTCCTGACTACAGATAGATGGACCCACAGACTCTTTTTTTAAGTGATTCCCCATCTGCTCTACATTGTTATGCATTTTAAGCTGGAATCTCTATCTACATATGAAGATTATTACTTTTTAACTCTATAAATGGGTACCACTAAATCAGGGGAGGAAAGATTGTTGTTTCATTCCTGTCTGTATGGGAGAAAAGCCAATCCATGAAAATTGTAGCACTGAATCCAATTAAGTCCCAAGAAAATTTAAACCCATATAATCAATGACACTTAGTGTGTCCCATTCATATAATGTGTCTCCTCTAGTTAGGAGTACCACTTGGAATTGGCCCAGAGTTAGAGTATTGACTCATCAATAGATGACAAAGATGTTATCAGACAAATGACACTGATTTTTCACTTGGCATAAAGTATTAAATCTTGAGACATACTGTAGTAGTAGGCATTCTTCAGTCTCGAGAGACTATGGGAATGTGCTCTGTATGGAAGTCTTGGAACAGCATCTAGTGTGGCTGAGAAGGCCAATTTGAGAGTGACAATCCCTTCCACACTGAAGACAAATACAATCTGGCCCCTGTCCAGCTCCCTGATTTTGCTGGTTCCGGGACTGCCTCTTTGCCTCGGCCTGCTGTACAAGTGTCTCTTCAAATTGGGAGAGGCCATGATGCAACACCTGCCTCCAGGCTGAATGGTCAGACGTCAAGGTTTCCCATCTGTTGAGGTCCATTCCTAAGGCCTTCAGACCCCCTTGCAGTTATCCTTGTATCACAGTTGTGGTCTCCCTCTGGGGGGATTTCCCTGCACTAATTCTGCATACAGGAGATCTTTTGGAATCCGACCATCAGCCATTCTCACGACATGCCCAAGCCAACGTAGACATCACTGTTTCAGTAATGTATACATGCTAAAACTTCCAGCTCGTTCTAGGACTACTCTATTTGGAACTTTGTCCTGCCAGGTGATACCAAAAATGTGTCGGAGACAGCACATATGGAACATGTCCACCTTCCTCTCCTGCCGTAAACAAAGGGTCCAGGGCTTACTGCAGTACAGGAGTGTGCTCAGGACACAGGCTCTATAGACCTGGATCTTGGTGTATGCCATCAGCTTCTTACTAAGTCACACTCTCTTTGTGAGTCTAGACTAGAGAACATGGTAGCTGCTTTGCCAATGCGTTTATCCAGCTCGACATCTAGGGAGAGAATGTCAGAGTTTGTTGAGCCAAGGTACACAAATTCATGAACAACCTCCAATTCTTATGTGGAGATAGTAATAGAGGGAGGTGAGTCCACGCCCTGGCCCATGACTTGTGTTTTCATCAGGCTGATTGTTAGTCCAAAGTCTTGGCAGGCCTTGCTAAAACAATTCATGTGTTGGAGGTCTTCAGCAGAGTGGGCAACTATGGCTGCATCATCAGCGAAGAGGAAGTCCCATATGTATTTCAGTTGGACTTCACTCTCAATCTTCACTCTCAATCTAGAGAGATTAAAGAGCTTTCCATCTGATCTAGTCCAGAGATAAGACACCTTCTGTTGCAGTTCCAAAGGCGTGCTTCAGCATGACAGCAAAAAAGATCCCAAACAGGGTTGGCGCGAGGACACAGCCTTGTTTTACTCCGCTTTGGATGTCAAAGGGATCTGATGTTGAGCCATCAAAAACTACAGTGCCCTTCATTTCCTCATGAAAGGACCTGATGATAAGGAGTCGAGGTGGACTTCCAATCTTGGGAAGTATTTTTAAAAAGCCGTCCCTGCTAACCAAATCAAAGGCCTTTGTGAGATCTATGAAGGCCACAAAGAGTAGCTGTTGTTCCCTACATTTCTCCTGCAAATGTCTGAAGGAAAATACCATGTCGGTGGTGGATCTATTAGCTCAAAATCCACACTGTGATTCTGGATAGACTCTGTTTGCAAGCACCTGGAGTCTCTTCCGCACAACACAGGCCAGTAGCTTCCGTACAATGCTGAGAAGAGATACCACGGTAGTTATTGGAGTCGTCTCTGTCTCCTTTGTACTTATACAATGTGACGATGTTTGCATCTTGAGACATACACTACAGGTATCTGTAGAGGTCCTGATGAATGTAAATGAAAATTTTAAATATATTCACGTGCCAGTTTTTCATAATAAACAATAATTTAACCCATTTTAGTCATTTCCCCACTATCTACTTCATGACCCCAGAATTGTATGATGGCAAAGGGGTGGGTGTGCAAAGAGACAGAATATGGAAAACAAGCCTAAGGTTCTGGTCCAAGCTGGAGATTAAAAGCAGATGAAGATGCATGTATGTGAACCCCATCAGCACTTTCAACAGAAAAAAAGAAGAGCTATTACAAGTTGCTAGTATCTGCTTTCAGAAGCATCTCCTTCCTCCTCAGTCTCCTTGGCTGCAGTCTGCACAGCAGTCTATTACATACATATTGGGAGAATACCTATTTTTAGCCCTGTCCCACCTTCTGAAATCAAGCAAAGCTTGCAGGAAGGTGATAAAAGAATTTACGACTTTTATATAAAGGATCTTTTGAGGCAGTGGTCCACCACTAGTCCTCTCCCTTTGCCTAGCATACAGTGGGGCAGGGAATTCTCCACGATCCAATACTTCTCCTCCTCCAAACAAGGAGCTGCCTTCCAGACTGCAAACTGAAACCTGGCTGCAGATTCTTGAGTAAAACACAAACTTTGAAGTTAGAGCCAGAAAATGAGAGCCATCAACTGATAAATTTATTGAAGAACTGGTCATATATTTACTTATCAGTATATTTATAATTCAAATTTTGTACTGCTTTCATATAGGACAACACTGTTCATGTTTTCTCCACTCTGGATGTGCTAAATAAATACGTATTTTAATACTCCTTATTTGCTTGATGAATTGACTTATGAATCCTCTCTCATAGTGGAACTAAAAGTCCTTTTAAAAACAACTCTTAACAAAACAGCAAGTTCTTTAGATAAATTTTGAGGAAAAACCTAAACAAAAACTTAAAATTTTTAGACCTTTTGAACTTAATCACAGAAATGCAGATAGAATATGATCCACAGCATCTTCAAGCAGAATTCAAGGGATTTTGATCATCACTCTGTCTCTCCCCTCAGTTTCACAGGCTATACTTAAACCATTCCTGGGTGCTATGGGCAGCAAATGCATATTTACCTCTAGGAAGGGGGCAGTGCATATTTAACAAAGAGATTTCTTAAGAGACGATGGGCTGGTTGTTTACCCAGCCTCAAAGCACTATCTTCCCTAAACTGTGGTTAGAGGGTGCACTGAAACTGGTATTAAGAATATTCAATGACATGTTCATCAGCTTCCAACTCCGCTTCCGAGTATCCTGTTATCTCTTGTACAATGGCCAGGTGAAGTGCCATTCACCTGGCCATTGTACCCTGAGGAAAAAAATAATGGGAGGGAAGGAACACCCACAATCCCATAGCTAATGTCTATTTCCAAACCGTATGGTGGTCAAGAGAACCACCTGTACAAGTTTCCTGTTTAATAAAAATATGATGAACTCATTAACTGATGCAACCAAGATATACAAATACACACACAATTACAATACAGTCCCAATTCTTTTCTGATTAGACAATTTATAGAAATAGAAGATCTGAAGTACAAATTCATTCGCATTTGAACCAAGGGAGAAGAACTGTTTAAAAAGATTGTCACCCATGAGCACTCTAATCACTACACACCACTCTTAAGTTAACATGGTCTTATGCATGAACATACTTGGCTGTTTAGGCTAATTGTATGTCTCTGGACAAGAAGGATTTTGAAAACATTATGATTAAACTAAAATTCCAGTGCAATGTTTAAGACTCATTTGAAAAATAAAAACACACGTCTGTAAACTTCCAAAATATTTTATCTTGTGTCACTCTATAATCCTTGAAAAGTCTGCTTGCATTCCAGCTAGGAAAAATAAGTTAGCACGATCATTTCAATTGGTTGTCGACAGACCGGACAGGGCTTGTTCCGTTTCTTTAGTTTTTTTGCACATGTGAAACATGACATGAGATGTCCTGTCCTTCCATGTACTATGCAACCATTTTTAGGTCTCGTTTGGCATATAACACAAGGTTCTATACTAGACAGAGGTAGACTGGATTCCGGGCTTTTTTCTTTGTCCTCAGTGTCTTCCTTCTCAGATTCTTTAGAGTCCCTCTGGCTGCTGCACAGCATACTGCTAGATGTAGATGGTTGAGAATATTCCTCACTTTCCTGAGACTCTGAGCTTTCTTTTGCATCTTCTGTTTCTTTACCTTCATCCATTTTCCCTTTTTTGCAGTCAGGCACATCAACACCTTCCTCCAGTTCCAGTGGTGTGGCTTTCTCAGGTTCCAGTGAAGTACCATTTTCAAGTTTGCTCTCTTTAGATTTCCCTGTCTTATCAGGGAGCCAGTCCTCCCGAAGAGCCCAGCACCTGGGGCAATGGCGTGGAAGAGGGGGGTTCATTTCATTGCAGTTTGAGCATTTCCAATAGTCCTTCAGTGAATTAGATACAAAACAGTTAATAGCCATGAAACCAAAATTTGAAGAAAAACCCAAGATAACTATTTTGTCTTAAACACCACACGGTACAGCAGACCTGAGCAAAGTGAGGCCTGCGGGCAGTTCTGAACATCAAAACCATTTATAGCTTTTTGTCTAAAATTGATCAGTTGCTTATCTTTAACATACCGCAAAAACCTCTTTAGTATTTGTGAAGATTAACAAGTTTAAAATAAAAACAGTCATAACATCACTGTTTCATTTTATTTTTAAGTAAAGTTGGTTCGGCCCCTGAACACAGTTCAGTTCTTTTCATGTGGCCCCCCTATAGAAATTAATTGCCCACCCCTGCGGTACAGGGACATGACAAACACAGTACTATAAAGAATGTGTAATGACCCAAGCTATCTCCTTATCTATATATGTTCTGGCTATAGGGGCCTCATAAGCTAGCTCTCCAATTCTGTTCTCATTATCTTGTTACCCTCCAGGTAAAGCGGGAGTATTATACAGAAGCTTATGTCGTGTTTTCTTCTTTGGTACTGAGACAACAGGATGTTATGGACTAATGTGGGAAGAGTTTGGAAGGCATGTGAAAAGGGGCGTATGTTTCAGGTATAAATGAATGTGACCGAATCAAGACGGCAAAAACTATCTTTCAAATATTTCTCCTTCCATTCCTTTTCAGGAGAGATTTTCACCTTGTATACAACAACACATGCCAAGATGGAGGTTACTGGAGTTCCTGATAGATCCTCAGACCCTAGAATCAGTTAACAATTAGGCAAACCGATTTTGACAGGCAAGACAGAGTATGGTGGCCTCAGCACAGTATGGAGTGTTTAAGGTGGCATTTCAGTGGAAGATAATGTTCTCGAATGCCCCTTTTGATCCACCCAGAATTGGATCCCAAAACTGAAAACAGGTCCCCTGGCTAGTCTTGCAGCATTCTGGGACCGAGTCTTAACTTGCACCAAGGAAATCATTTACATGTGATGGCAAGCAAATGGTTTCATTGAAATTTCAGCAAGGGAAGATATCACAGACCCAGAGCTGAATTTATTCAGTATCAAGTACAAGAGGCTCTGTAGAGATATCTGACCTCTGGTAGCTCATGAGATCCCCAATATTCCAGAGTTTATGTAAGCAATACAATGGATGGTATTCTTAAGGGAATTAAGTATATTCCTAAGTTAATGGGCTAGCTTTGCTATGAACTTGAGGACTGGAAAGGGGACCTGTTCTTGGGACCTCAGAATATGATGTATTTCATACCAAGTCAGGATTTTACTTACAGCTAGGGAGATCTCAGGATCATCATCAAATGAATCCATATCGCTGTCTTCAGCTTGATATATAGTCACTTGGTAGATCTGATGGAAGAAAAATTTTAGCTTCCAGTTATTTTATTTATTTATTTATTTGATTTATATCCTGCCCATCTGGTCTGGTCGTTATAGTTAGTGTTTATATGCATGTGGTATCTGCTGTCAAGTCCAAATCAACTTATAGTGACTCTCATAGTGCTTTCAAGATAAATGTGATATTTAAGGATTTTACCAGTCCTCCCCACTCCAACCTCACCAGTATGCTTTCAAGGCTAGCGGGGAATCAAACAGATCTCCTAAGTCCTAGTCCTTTGCTCTATCCACTATCCCATGAAGAACACGAATATGGATTTGCCTAATAAGATGGTATGTAGTATTGGGGTCTTGTGACTACTTTGTAACTAACAGAAACATATTTACCATCTGAAAAAACTATATATTCAAACTTGCAGAGGCATTTTTTTTATTTAACTTGCTTCCAAACCATAGGATTTTTTTTGCCCAAGGATACCAACAGTAATTTTCAGATAATAAACATCCAGAGTCAGAAAGCTAAAAGGGAATTCCAGTCAAAATACACTGTCCTCCAATGTCCCTCAGGTCTCCCTCAGGTCCCCCTCAGGTCTCACACAATCACATGGATTAATCAATACTTAAAGAGGGGTCACAGGCCACATGTCCTATGGTAGAGACATACTGTACCTTGCACTAGGAAGTCCCAGATCAAGCCTAGGTTCCTCTAGTTAAATGGGTAGAAGGGAAAGACCTTTAAAGCTGTGAAGAGTTGCCACTAGTCAGACTGATTAATCACACAGACTGACTCAGCTACGGCAATCTAAATACTGGGAACTGGATCCAGATTTTAAACCCACTGAAATCAATGAGACTATTCTTGTTAATGTGTTGATTCCACTCTCTGCACAACTAAATCTGGATTCAACCCAGGAAGTACTTTCTACATGAATATTCTAACTTTATTTTAAATATACATACCTCATCATCCTCATCTGTAAGCTCAAGTCCTTCTTCATTAGGGCTGTAGTCCTCTGAATGGATAGATTCAACTTCAAATTCAACACTGAATTGATCCGAGACGGAATCATCATCAAACCAGTCACTCAAACTGGCATTATGATCCTAAAAGAGGGAGAATCAACGTCCTTTAAATATGTCTGTGACTAGAACAAGAGCAAGGCAATTAAGTGGTTTGAAATCCACAAAAAGAACACTACACATTTTAGAATACATTGATGTAATATACACATGAATGACAAGAGGATTGCTTGAAGCTACAGAAATAAGCCTGCTCCAATACTTGGACTAGGCTACTCTAGTAAAGATCTATGCAACTAATTTGCTTATTTTCATTTCCGAACCAAACGAGCAAAACTTCTCATAAGAAGTGATACACAATAATATCAAGAAGCTTAAATTCAACTCCTAGGTGTTTTTTTACGGCTATCCATACATTAACAAAAGGAAAAAAGCTTGTCCTTCTCCATTTATGAATAGCAATAAGAACAGGAAATCTTTTGAAACAGTTCCAGTATTGTGGGGACACTGAGTAGTCAGCAGACTAAGGAACATCACTGATGGTTTTAAGCATGGGCCAAGAAGCTCTGCAATGACATGAAAATATACTCTCAGCTATTAAGAGTAGTGCCAGCTTTGATTCTATATGGATGGTTACAACACTTAATAATTATCTCCTAAAGCACTACATAAACTTCTAAAAAGCTGCCTTCCAAACAATATCAATTGTATCTGAAAAATTATTTACTGTAACAGAAGAACCAACTTATACAAATAAGACACATAACATGATATATAATAGTATTTCTTTTGATATGAACAAAGGAGTGAGCAAAATAAAATGGTTTACAAAAATAAACAAAAATATAGTTTAAATATTTAAAAAAGAATCTAGGAAATCTAGCAGGAAGCACAAGTAGTAGATCACTAAGGGATGGGGATTCACACAGAATAGATGAACTGAGAACACATTGGCAATCAGAGTGGCAAGACTTCCTTCTGGTGATGGATCTTCCCGAGCAATACACATAAAAGAATAAACCTGAATGCATGGCCCATAATTAAAGTAATGCTTTTATTAGGCAACCAACCTGGTATCAATAAAGAAAGAAAAAGAGAGTGAGAGCAAGAGAGAGACCGAGAGTGACATTAAGAGTCCATAAAAAACAAATTTTAAGCGTTTCAACAAGCTCAAAAGCTTGCCTCTTTCTTCCCCCTCTCCAATATTTTGCTAGCCCTAATAAAGGTATTCTTCAACTCTACCTTTTGATTTTGTTTGTGGACTATGCCACTAAGTTTCTTTTTGACATATAATTTGTCTGTTTTCAGCTACCATTTACATTACCTTGGGAACAAGTGTGAGAGAAAGATTGATATGCAAAGTGCAAGCATGTCATGGAGAAGACAAGCGCAGATCCCACTTGCCAAACTTTACAAGCAGTGAAGTATAACTTGCAACAGCAGAGTCTGATCACACAATAACCTCTTTGTTCATAAAGCCTCTAAAATGTTAGAACAATTTACAGAATTTCCTCTCTCTCTCTCTCTCTCTCTCTCACACACACACACACACATCTCTACTTACTGGACTTGAGGGAGAGCTTGTGGAACTGCTGCCATTGCTTTGACCACAATACAGGTCGCTTGCTAAACACCATGAAAGGCTATCATCAAATGTAAGGGAAATGCTGTCTGACTTGTGCCGCTTTCTCTGTCTTTCATCATTTGTATCTTCTGAAACACTTTCTTCTGCAGGATAAAAGAGTGTAGCAAATCTATAGTACTGTACAGTTTTATAAATTCAAATTTTGTCCTAGGGTTTCTTGGTTCTGTCTCTTTCTGCCATATGTGATTCCCAACATCAGAAACACATGGGGGCTGCAGTTTTCCATCACAGCGGTAAACATTCACATTCTCTTGTGAATGTTTACTGCTCCACATTGCAATGATGGAAATATGTAAGATGTTATACTAGGTGTAACATTACCAAAGGTCCCACTGGCAGCCTAAGGAAAAAAGAAAAATTTACAACAAAATCCTGTACCTTTTACTCCAAGGTTCATATTACTGAACTTAACTGAGCTTACACCTAGATGCTTTGGTGTATTGCTGAAATCATAGTATAGTATTTTCTTTTTAAGACTCAGAACAGATATTTTAAAATAATTCAAAACCATAAGAAAACAAACTCGCCAATGAAGCCACCAAAAGGCAATAGGTAGTACAGCACTGACATCCTTAGGGAGGTGTTGTACTTTGCAATTTATGTCTATTCATTTTTATGAGTGAAACAAATAAAACAAATTTGTTTCATATGAAACAAATAAAAATGGCAATATCCAACTGAGTTCCCACTAAAGGTAAAGCCTAGCCATGTATGGGCTCATGCTAGTCACACAAGCGCTGTTCTTGTGCAAGTAGTAACCTTTATGAAAAAAAAACTCTGCTTCTGCTTGTGACACCTGTGTAAGTGGCACAAGCCTGAAATACCACACTGGCAGAATTTTCCACACAGTGGGAACTCGTAAGAATACCAGTGAATGTAGTTGAATCTGATCTTCAATGTCAAGAACACAAATCAACTGGCTCCCTTGACAACAAAAGGTGCAGAACCTTGGATATGGTGTATGTGGAGCAGAGCAAAAACATTGCATGTGAAAGCTCCCTGTGTCCCACTTTGTTGACACTTCTACTACAAGTCACACAAATGTTATGTTTTCTAGTCTGAATAGGCAGTACAGCACAGAAAGCCTTAGGCAGGTGTTGTACTTTGTAATTTATAGCTGTGCTAACCTAGCAGAACAGGATGTGTTGATCATAACTCCAGTGTGGCACTACAGCTGTTGGAAGGGCTGAGCTCAGTTCCCATCTGAGAAATACAAATAATCCCTTCTAAGATGATGCTGTGACAAGTGAGTTGCCTATACAGCTCCAAAAGATTGTGATAACAGCATTTCAAATAGATGAAAAGAAGCTAACACATTTCTACAACCTAGTAAATCTCACTTTTCAAAAGTCTCGGTGAAAACATATTGTTTGAAATAATGCTTGGCTCTGGTATTGGCATGGAGGGTTTTGAATCGCTTGTATTACTCGTTTGTTTTTATGTCTAAGTTTGATGTTTTTACATATTGCAGAGATTGTGTAGATCTGGGTTGCCCACTCCTCTGTATGATGGGTCTGAGGACTGTAGGCAAATAACTGTCTGATTATGAGGTAGCTTGTAAGGAGATCATCACCCCAGTGATCAAAGAAAAAGTAGATTTGAGTTTCTTGATACAGACTCCGAGATCACTTATCAAATAGCCAGATTTTGTATGGCAATATTCAGGCTTTGGAAATTCCATAGTAACTAGATACTAGATTTTAAATTGTGTTTTAAATGCCAAAATTTTTATGAAGTAACTGAAATTTTGAAATGTAATAGTAGCTAGATACTAGATTTTAAATAGTATTTTAATGTCAAATATTTTTATGAGGTATTTGGAATTTTGGAAACTGGAAATGTCTATGCCCCCCCCCGTGTGATTGGTCTAAGGGCCATAACAATAAACTGTATTCTGTATCATTTGAAAGAAGAATTCTTCTCATACAAGTTAAGTACACAAAGGAATCTAAAAGGCATATTTGCTGACATCAATATCTATTTACAAGCAGGTAAAACAGGACCTTCCTTTTCAGATAAAAGCAGCATAGCCAAGAGCAATAAGAGTGCTCATGGAAGGCGGCAAGTAAAGAGCTAGGCCATGGAAGGAGCTCAAGCCAATCAGAAAAGGCAAGACACACGTCATGGCTGAAAATGCTGCCTTATATTTTCATGTGCTTTGCACATCTGGAGAACAAAGGATAAAAGGAGGCTTACAAAAAGCTTTAAGAAAAACAGCCACATAAGTTCTGTGGCCAGAAAGCTGCAAGTTGTAGAGACAGGCAATGCTCTACCTCCACTGAAGCTTCAAAGAAGTCAACACTCACACCTCAGGAGCCACATTTTCTCCTCCCTCCCTCTCCAATTTGTAACTTTTTGTGTTATCTGGCAGTACTATATAGCTAATAGCTCTGAATATGCAGGCTATTGGAAGTCTTGAAACATACAAAAAAGGCCTCACCTACCCGTTTCACTGTGTGCCCTCCTCCTAGATGCAGTTGTGTCACTTGATTCTTGCACTAATTCCTGCTCAAAAGAAAAGATTAAATAAATAAGACACCATACAGAGATCAATTTCACTGATCCAGAGTTGAAAGACGAGAAGGATAGGAATGTACCATGTAATTAAAATTACCTTCAGAGTATTTCCATTTTCTAGTTGGCACCTTGATTGATTCACAGAGGTGTTAACAATATTAGAGTCTTCAAAAGAAATACACATCGGAAGTCACCAAAGGGGGCAACAGATGGTTCAAATATACATTTTTTAAAAATACAAGGATTAATAAGCTGCAATGCTAAACACATGAACTGCTCAAAATCCTAACAGATGCTGATTTGCTCAAAACATTTCTACAACTAAAAAACCCCTATACAATAAATTAAACTCCCTTTCTTTAAAACCATACAAAGAATAATTCTGAACGTCAAGGTCTATTCTAGTGTTATCATTTTAAAATCCACATTTACACAGCTACCAATACTGCCACCAAAAACTTTGGGAATGGAAAGGATTACAGCTGCAAGGCTAGGTCATGCATTCATACACAAGAGCCATATGGTGACAACTGTAGAGTGGCAGACATATTCTGTAAGCTTGAGGGTGTCTAAGTTTTAACATTTGAACAAATGAATTCTAATTTTCTTGCGCTCACCTATGGGTAAGTCTGGTTTTTAGTAATAGCTTCACACTGCAGTTTATATGAGCTTACGCTGGTGACGGATAAATAGGTTTTTAAAAAATGTATGAACTGTAGAAATAAGCTAAATCTGTACACTGGTTAGCACAACTATGCCAATATTGGAAAGAGCTTGACAAGCCTTAGAACTTACCCACTCTTTCTCAGAAATAAGTCTTTACTTTTAACTCACCATAGTCTCACATATCATTCAAATGGACAAACTCTAGTTAACATTAACTATGGTCAATGTAAGACATATTAATTTCATGTTTTCTCAACTTGGTTTGTTTAAACAAACCAAGCAAACACTTACAAATATGTCTTCAGGAATTGGTGGGTCGGTGAGTGGGAAGAAGGACATAAGGCTTTGCATTGCTCAGACACACTAAAACAAGATTTTGGATTATGTCCAAGCCATCATTGAAAATCCCAACTCTTGTCTATTGATCATTCAAGAGTCTTGCTTGCATTTCAGTGTGTTCCATTTCAGTGTGTTCCTGCATGCCATAAAACATTTCATGCCAATACTGAAATAATTACTGTAAAATTTAGTTAAATATATCTAACAAATCTTTCCCCAAGTAACAATAAATAACATGATTGTAACAGTAAACTAGCTTACCTTGCTGTCCAACTGTTACCAGGTTTTTGTAAATCATCAAATATAATTGCCTTAAAAAATAAAATTAAATAACAGGATTAAATAATATAAATTAAGTGCTCATGTTTATTTTGAAGATACTCTAAACAAACAATTCTGCAAGATAAAAGGCTGACTATAGAGGTGAAAGAGAGTACTGCTACCTTTAAAAACACTTGGTCCCAACATTTCCTCTAATTTTCTACCAGCACTGGGCCCTGCTCCACATACGCAGCTGCAACTGGAACCAAATGGTCGGCAACACTGGCTGTGGATGCGTGGCACTGATGCAGTACTGCATGGCTGCACAGCTAAGACAGAATGTTGCTTGGCCCAGTTCTTAGAAGTTCATAGGTACAAATGCAAGTTGTGCTTTCTGTTCTTACTTCTTATTTCAATGCCAAAAAACCCCCATCATTTGACATGTCTGATTTATGTGCACCGAGATGTTTTTATATGCACCATATGTTTTAAAGCTGTATTTGAATGTGCTTCTTTTGCTCTGAGTTAATATTATCCTTTTTTTCCAGAATGCTTTAAAAAAGCTCAATCAATTTCATTGAGAGACTGAAAACCATTAAGTCATAAAGCCAGGTAAAATTCAAAACCAAAGTAACTGCTTGTAAAATTACTATGCGTCTCAAGATCCATTTGATCCCTGAAACAAAACTGTAGTAAGTGGAAAGTTTTCCAGAGGAACGGTACCAAAAACACTCTGCACAGAATTTCAGGAAGGTCACAGCTGTTCCCTTCATTACATTCATTCTGTGGGCTCTATAACACCTGCAACGGACAGTCTTGAGTAGAGATGTTTGCTTTTCACATTTTTGGACTGCAATTCCTGGAATTTTCCAAGATTTCAGGATTTACAGACCACAAACTCAAATCTGCACATCCGTAGGTTCTACCCCACCAAGAGGGGCTTCTAAATTATTGATGTCCATTTTCAGCTTTTCAGGCCTTTCTTTGCTTTATTTTAAATTGTTAAAAAAAGGGGGGGAACCTGCCAGTGCTTTCTAGAAGGCACAGTCAGTATAGAGGGTGCCTCCCAATGATCCACAACTCCCAGGACACACTGCAGCAGATTCCTTTTTTTGAAATTAACAATAGAAAGCAAAGGACTAAGAATCCAATAGTGTCCATAAATAACTCAAAAGCCCATCTCCTGGGGGCAGGGGAGGGCAAGAGCTACAGGTGTGCAGATATAAGTGGTTGAACTGAAATATCCAGAATTTTCCAATAATTCAGGGAACTGGAACCCACAAACCCAAATCTGCACACCTGTAGCTCTTGCCCTCCCCTGTCTCCAGTGAGCAGCTTTTATTTATGGACACTATTCGCTTCTGAGGCCCTTGCTTTCTATTGTTGATTTTTTTAAAGGATGCTACTGCAGTGTACCATCTTGATAATTACATCAGAACCATGTACATGGTAAAACTTTTGCATGTACTAATGGGAAATTTTTAGAAAATGCATAGCTATATTGTCTATTACACAAATATTCCTAAATTTCACTATTTGCATTATTTTTCCAGTATCTGTATCATATAACATGGAACGACTGAAGACAGACAGCTACAAAAACAAAAGGCTATTATCTGACTTCAACAAAAATAATTTAATTCTTTTTAAAAATGTCCATTTTTTCACCCCTACCCCACTGGCAGGTAAAAATATGCCAGCCAACCAGCCAACGCTCTCAGCACTTAATACCAAGTTACCACAAATATTTTACCTGTGTTCTTTCACAGAAAAACTCTGTACACCAAAAAGATCACCCAGAAGATCATTTTCACAATGGACAATATGCTGCTGCCTTTCATCATACAGATGTTTGGACATGATATATTGACCAATATAAAATAGTATCTGTAATAGCAAACATTTAAATGTTTTATTTTATAAAGAGAGATCAATGTAGTATAATTTCTAGTGTATTTACTGAACATCAATTTTCAATGTTCCATCACACTCTATGACAAAAAAAGGTACACAGGATTAGATCATATAGATCAGTGGTTCTTAACGTGGGCGATAACGCCCCCCAGTGGGCAATTTCATTTTTCAGGGGGGCGGTAGAACGAAAAGGGGCGTCGTGGGGGCGCTGGAGCAGAAGGGGGCGGTAGGGGGGCGCTGGAGCAAGCCAAACCTGTTAAGATGGCTGCAGCCTTTTTACAGTGTGCATGAATATATATTTTCCTCCAATTTTAATTTAGTTTCAGACTTTTTGTCTTGAAATTTTTAGTTCCTGCATTTGTTTTTATGCCCTTTTTATATTTCTTTTTGCGTCTTAAAATTCACTTGCAACTAAATCATTAAATGTTACTTTTGGGGGGGGGCATTTCATTTTCTTGGAATTTAATTTTGTTTTCAGGGGTCGTTGGATTTAACTGTCTTAAACAAACAAACAAACAAACAAACAAACAAACAAATAAATAAAGATATCATCACCGCGGGGAGGGGGGCGATGATAACTTCCGTAATGGCTCAAGGGGGCATTTCTTTCAAAAAGGTTAAGAACCACTGATATAGATGAAGAATACTTGTAGACATCAAGCAGGTTTGATTTCAGCTCACCCTTTCTGTTACAATGTTTCCATGATGCCCCTTCCCCTCCACACTCTCATAAGCATACTAATTCTGCATGCCTGTCATATCCATGGACACAATTACTTATATTTACACAGTACTTCACATGTCTTCAGCTATCATTTTACAGCTATGCCCATTCTGAAATTATAGAACCTAACTTAAGTCTGAAATGAACTGCTAAAGATCAAGAAGCTGGGATAACAGGTTTTGATACCATTTTACCCATGTCCAAATATGTAAGGGCAAAGATGAAAAAAAAATCACAAACTCATTGTCCCAGCATCAAAAGAGGATTCATTCTTGACTAGTGTTATAGCCATCTAGAATTCTGATTGACTGCATTAAAAACATATTAAAAACATAAGTAGTACATATTTTTTGCAATTACTATGACTTACTTCCTTCATAGTGAAAGTATCCTTTTGTGCACCAGCAAACTTTAACAGTTTCAACAGCAAAGGCTTGGGTTTAACCTGAAAATAAAGATACAACATTAAAAAAAAAACATTACAGTGGTGCCTCGCTAGACAATGATAATCCGTTCCACTGAAATCACTGTTTAGCGAAATCATTGTCTAGCGAAAAGCATTCCCCCATTGGAATGCATTGAAACCTGTTTAATGCATTCCGATGGGGAAGAATCGTCGTTGTCTAGCGACGATCGGCCATAGGAAAGCCGATCAGCCATGATCAGCCATAGAAAAGCCGCTTTGTGAACCACTGATCAGCTGTTTAAATCGCTGTGTTGCAAAGCTTAGGTCCCGAAAACTCCTGTTTTGCAAGCGTGGAGGAAGCTGTCAACATCGTCATCTAGCGTAGTGGTTCTTAACCTTGGGTTACTCAGGTGTTTTTTGATTACAACTCCCAGAAGCCTTCACCACCAGCTGTGCTGGCTGGGGTTTCTGGGAGTTGCAGTTCAAAAACACCTGAGTAACCCAAGGTTAAGAACCACTGATCTAGCAAAAATCGGTTTACGAAGCAGGGACCAAACATTGTCCAGCGAAATTCCCCCATAGGAATCACTGTTTTGCGAATCGCTATAGCGATCGCAAAAAGTCAATATGTCTAGCGAAAAACTGTCATGCGGGGTAACTGTCTAGTGAGGCACCACTGTACTCAGAAAGCAAGTTCACTTTCACGAAAATAGATGTAGGCTGCAGCCTAAATTTTCTTCAGACTTCGACAGTTTCACATTTTCCTCCTTAACTTTTTGGAGAAGAGTCGCTCTCTCATTCGAAGCAAACACCAACAACACCCAAAAAGCAAACTAAGGTACTGTACTGTAGTTGTTCTAGTGCTCGTAGCCTGTGTAGGCCAAATCTTATTTCTACAAAGCTAAAAAATAGGAACAATTTCGAGGAAAGCTCCCCGGCGGTTCCTCACCATACTCACCAACGCTTCTTGGCCGGGACGACTGGTGCCAGACGTGCCCGCAGCCGGCTGCTCAGGAGAAGCCATTTTAGTATTGCACATTTGCCTGTTAAGTAGCCCAAAGACAGACACACGGAGAGAGAAATTAAGCGACCTCGCATTTTAGCGGGCTGCCCGCCCCTGCTTACGAGGCGACCAGCGCGCCTCTGGCAGGAAGCGGGCCTCCAGAAATCCCCCTCCCGCTCTCGCGTGGCGCCCTCTCCGTTTCCTCACCCAACGGAACCCGGGCACTCCACAAGGCTCGACTCGAAACCCAGCGAGGCCCGGGTATAAATACCGCCTCCCGCTCAGGGCAAGTCCAGACTTACCTCCTTCCCTAAACGCTGCCCGACATGTCCGAGCATGACTCGCAGAAACTAGCGCTGAGTCAACGGCGGCGATGGGAGGGACGAGAAGGACGGAGAGAAGCCACCACCCCAACCCCGGCGCGGACGCCGGCCGGGCATAGCAACCTGTGTAGTCCCTTCCCCTGCCAACGCCTCTCCGCCTTGCTTGGCCGCCCCTTCCCGGAAGAGCCCAAAAGGCAAGCAGCCCCTTGGGTCGGTTCTCCAAAAGTGGGGTTCCCCCAAGGCGAGATTCTTCTCAGTCTCCTTCGCCCATCCTCGATTCCTCCCCTCAGAGAACAGGACGGCCCCTCTTAGTAAGCGAGGGCCGCTTTTGGGCCTGGCGCCGCCATTTCGGGCCCTCAGCGCCGAAGCGGCCAGGCCTCTCTCGCTCGAGCAATGGCGGAACCGTTTCGTGACCGTTGCTGCGCAGGGGCGCCCCCGCTCCCCGCCTGCCTGGCTCGACGCTTCTTGGCTGGGCGGGGTCCCTGAGAGTCTTCCTCAGATTTTCTGCTGGGGTGGCCGTGTTCAGAGATTGAAGAGTCTCTCTTCCCCTATTTCTTTTTTGCCTCGACTCGAGAAATGTGTTCCCACGTAGACTTCAATACAGATTTATAAACTGCAAATCTACTATGTGTCTTCTCTGCTCTGAGCGCCGTTGGGTTCAGTGGGGATTCCTTCTAAGTAGGATAAGACCTGTAGGTTGCATGCCCTGAGAATATGTTAAAAGAAATGCTGTTATTATGTATTGTATTGTATTTTAAACACTCATGTAAGCCGCCCCGAGTAGACCTTGGGTATAAATCCAAATAAAGTTATATGATCTCAAGTCTTTTCTAATAGGGTTTCCATAGTACAGTATGTGAGGTATTTAAAGAATCGTTTTACCCTTACTATCTGCAGTGAGTTTTCATGGCCAAGTGGACTCCGCTGTCATGACTTCTGATCTGGATATATCCGCTACACTACTCTGGCTCTTTGAAAGTAAGGCACCTTGAATTTAGGGGACTTACTCTGAGAAAAAGTGCATAGAATTGCATGAACAGTGGGTTGTACCCACACTTGGACTGCAAAATTCTGGTAATCTTATCTTAAAAGGTCATTATAGAGTTGGAGAAGATACAGGAAATGATCAACAGACCAATTCCCCCGGAGGAAAGATTGGGCTCTTTAGGCTTGGAAAATTGAGTGAGAGCACTACAGATGCATAGTACAACATGTAATTGAAGTGTGGAATTTGCAACTAAGGGAGATAGGATTGCCAGTCTTGGTTTGTTTAAAAGGGAATTGGAGTAAAATATATGGAGGAAGCAGCTGTCAATGGCTAGTAATCATGATCACAGTATATTATCTCATCTATCAGAGGCATTATGGCCTTTGTATTGCTGGGAAACACAAGCATCAAGGTCTACTTGTACTCACATGCTGGTTGTAGGCTTTCTGTCTGATCCAGCAGGGCTTTTCTCATGTTCCTTTTTAATTGTGCTTAGGTAAAGGTTCCCCTTGACATTTAGTCCAGTCATGTCTGACTCTAGGGCACGATGCTCATCCCTGTCTCCAAGGCGTAGAGCTTGTTTATGACTAGTCCTTGAGATAGACCCCTCACCATGCAATGGTGGACTTATAGTCTGTGTCGTCCTCTGCCGTGTCTGCATCTGTATGTTCTACAAACTTTGGGTTTCTGCTGGCTGGCAATCTTCGCTTAAACCCCATAATTCTTTCAAGTATTTCGATTTTGACAGCTGACCACCGCCCTGTATTGGTGAATTAACTTTTCTGCCCAGCATCCTTACAAACGTACGTCAGGTCTAGTAGTGGTTGTTAAATACAAAATATTTCCTATAGCTTATGCTTCTTATGGTTTTGCCAGAGGTTCACTTTCTTCTTTGCCTTTCAGAAGGTCTATTGTCATGGATGTTGTAACAGTGTGGGCATCTTGGAGGCTTTATGTCTCCGCAACTTCAATAACCTTTTTTATTTTTGGTTCAGCCAATATGATCCATCTATGTCCCTTTCAATTTGAATGCCCCAATATTGTTGAATCATTTAACTGATTTCCACCTCTTTGTTAAGATGGTGTACAATCTTTTTGCACTTCTGTTCCCTTTGAGTAGTTTTACCAAACTGCTCAGGTTTTTTGCAGAATACCCTTGCAGAGCCTAATTTTTGCCTAGACATGTATGTGCATGCCACAGACTGTTTTAACTGGAAAACCTCTCTGGCCAAGGACAAGTACAGTGGTGCCTTGCTTTACGATTGCCCCACATTACGACGAATCCGCTTGACAATCTTTTTGCGATCACAACTGCGATCAAAAAACGATGGTCTAAATGGAGGAATTTTGCTTTGCGATAATCGGTTCCCTGCTTCGGGAACCAACTCTTCGCAAAATGACGTTTTTCAAACAGCTGATTGGCGGTTTCAAAACAGCCGCTGGGTGATTAAATGGCTCCCCGCCATGTTTAGGGACGGATTCCTCACTATAAAGGCAGCGAAAATGGCCGCCGTATGGAGGATCTTTGCTGGACGGTGAGTTTTTACCCCATTGGAATGCATTGAACGGGTATCGATGTGTTTCAATGGGGCTTTTATTTTCGCTTTACGATGTTTTCGCTTAACGGCGATTTTCCTGGAACACATCGTTAAGCAAGGCACCACTGTATATATGTTCCAGTTCCCAAGAAGGGAGACACAAAGGAGTGCAATAATTATAGGACTTGCCCCACATTACGACGAATCCGCTTGACAATCTTTTTGCGATCACAATTGCGATCAAAAAACGATGGTCTAAATGGAGGAATTTTGCTTTGCGATAATCGGTTCCCTGCTTCGGGAACCAACTCTTCGCAAAATGACGTTTTTCAAACAGCTGATTGGCGGTTTCAAAACAGCCGCTGGGTGATTAAATGGCTCCCCGCCATGTTTAGGGACGGATTCCTCACTATAAAGGCAGCGAAAATGGCCACCGTATGGAGGATCTTCTCTGGACTGTGAGTTTTTACCCCACTGGAACACATTAAACAGGTTTCAATGCGTTTCAATTGGTTTTTTTTCGCTTTACGATGTTTTCGCTTAACAGTGATTTTCCTGGAATGGATTATCATCATTAAGCGGGGCACCACTGTATAGGTTAAAAAAAGTGAGCCAAGCCTCCAAGAGGAAATTACAGGAATATACTGTACCTCTGATCTCTATTTACATTACATAGAAGACAGGAATATCTTAGCCAAGGATTCATCTCACAGGACAGCCCTCTTGTAAAGAGGCCGGAAAGATCAGATCAACTTATTAGAGGTCTGAGGGAAGAAACACCCCAGAATGGTCTGCATTTTCCTAAACAAATTTGCCTATCCTCTTCCTTTGCAATGTCTCTGGACCATCAGATAGGATCAGCCAAATCACAAAGATTAAGATAAGGCCAACTGGACACATGACTAACAAGTAACCAGTTCACTTTAGTGAGCCTAGCCAAAACTAGATTTAAAAAAGACACATAGTAGCCGTATTGATTATTCTGGAGAAATTTTGGAGGTGAATTGTCTTGCTGTATCTATTTCAGCATGAACCCTTCTGTTAATTCCCTTACATTATTCTAGCTAGGATTCCAAAACTCCCCAGATTCAAGGAAGTTTAATGAGACTTACGCAACATAATCTTTTATCTTTCATGAATATTTTCCCCACACATTGGTGGCTCCCTGATCTGCTCTCCCCCTTGTGCGTGCATGTATGTGTGTATATTATTATTCTGTACTATATTAATCATATATCATTAATATTTTATTGTGAATCTGTGACGTATTTTATTTTGTTCTTTAAAAAAAAATCCTCTTCTGAATCGCTTTGTGATATATTCAGCCCAGTCTGTGTCAAGACACATTGTTACTGTAGTTCAAAGATCTCTTATGAGTGTGTCTCCAGCCATGTGTGAGTTCATGCATGTGCTCTGAGAGCATACCTGGTAACAGATCTCAATCAGCCTGGTTGCTGGAAACTATAGAAGTTTCTGTTGAGCTGTTGCTCAGATACTCTCAAATATGGGATCACTGTGCAACATGTAAAGGTTGTACCTATCTAATTTTCATTATAGTAGAAAGGATAAACTTTGTAGAGCATTTAAGACAGTATGATCCTGCATTAAATAGTTGCCAAGGATGACAGCTGCCATCTGAGATAGCTTTAAAAGAAATTCAATAAATTCATGGAGGATTAAGGCTGACAAGAGAATCATCATCATCATTATCATGTGCTGTCAAGAGAATCATCATCATCATCATTATCATGTGCTGTCAAGACAGTTCTGATTTATGGCAACTCTTTTCAGGGTTTTCCAGGTACAGAATAGTATTTGATTCTGCCAGAGTCACTCGTTCCAGCCAGGCCAGGTGGCTGAGGGGCCTAATGCCGAGTGAGGTCTGGAAGGAAAGAACGAGGAACCAGGCCTTCTCGGCAGTGGCCCCTCGCCTCTGGAACAACTTGCCCGTGGAGCTCCGGCTGGCTCCCTCTCTGAGTGTCTTCAGAAGTAAACTTAAGACGTGGCTATTTGGGCAGGCTTTCCCTCTGCTGTATCTTAAATTCACATTTTAACATTTTGGATTTATTGCATGTTTATTGGTTTTACTGTTTTTACATTTGTAATGGCGCCCAGAGTAGACCTTTGGTCTAGATGGGCGGGGTATAAATCGATCTAAATAAATAAACAAATAAATACATACATACATACACGTGTGTGTGTGTGTGTGCGCGCGCACACACACACACACACACATAGTGGTGCCCCGCATAGCAATGTTAATCCATTCCAGGATTAATGCCAATATCCGGATTCGTCGCTATGCACGGGGGGGAACCCATAGGAACGCTTTAAACTGCGTTTAATGCATTCCTATTGGGGGAAAACTCCCCGCTATGCGGGGAATCCTCCATCCGGCTGCCATTTTCGCCGCCGGGTAAGAGAGGGCAGGGCGCGAAAACGCTGCGAGCAGCCGTTTTCGGCAACCGTCGGCCGTTTTGGAACCGCCGATCAGCTGTTCCCAAAACATCGCAATGCAACGATCGGTAAGCGAAACACTTTTGCCTATTAAAACATTGCAATGCGATCGCATTAGCGATTGCAAAAAATGCATCGCTATGCAGATTCGTCATTAAACAGTGCGCTCGTTAAGCGAGGCACCACTGTACGTATGTACATACATACATACATACGTACATACATACATACATACGTACATACATACATACATAGAAGTGGATTACCATTTCTTTCTTATAGGGTGTCCTGGGACTGTGCAACTTGCCCATGGCCACACAGGCTATTACTCACAAGAGGCATAGTGGGGAATTAAACTCCAGGCCTTTGGCTTGACGGCTAGATACCTAAACTAACAGGAGATACTAAGGGTATATACCAGGGGTCTTCAGACTATGGTCCATGTGCCATATCTGCACCACCTTGCCTTTTTATCCGGCCTGGACATAGGAAGAAGAGGGAAGGGAGACCCAAATGATCCCCCACCCCTGCTGTCTTTACAAAGCAGGGGTGGGGGATCACTTGGGTGCCCCCTCCCTCCTACAGCCCTCAAAAATGTGTACAATATATGATATGCC